ACCAGTTAAAGTAAGAGAAAGCATAGGAACATGTGATATTCCAGAAGTCAAGAGAAGAAATCATTCCAAGAAGAAGAAAATAGTCAATTCATTCAAAGAAGAAGAAAATATTCAATATCTTGTTGTATATCTCAAATACTGCCGATAAGCAGAGATTATTGAAAAAGATTGACTAATGGATTTTAAAGATGGTAAACATTAGTGATCTAAATATGCAGCAGAAGATTGGGATAGAAATCCTACTGTTGTTTTAAGTGGAAAGGAAGTGAAAAAGTGCGAGTAAAGGCATGCTTACTCTGGAATGGGAATGAGAAATGAGGCAGTAAATGAAGGAGGCTGTGTGATTGGTTTGAGATGGCCATTTTGGGTTATTGGAATAATTTAACTAGAAAAGATAAAAATTAATGACACAGAAAAAGGGCTAGTTAATAACACAAAGTAATGGAGAAGGATGGGATCCTGAGCACAAGAGGAAGGTTGATATTATATATGGATAGTTCATTCATATTAATAAGAGGGAAGGCAGAATATAGGTACCTATACAGGTAAGAAAATAGATGCAAAGGAAAGAAGGTAAGGAAATTTCTGTCTGTTTCAGATGGGGCACCTCAACATTTAGATAAATGATAAAAATAAATCAAAGGTATTTCCAAAACATTTACATTATGTAATCATCACGATGGTGGCTCCAATAAGCAAATCATCATTATCACATCATAAATTTATAGCAGTAATTTTGACTAAGCCTCATTTAATCTTCAAATAAGAGTATCCTATATAATAAAAGCCCAGCAACCTAATGGCGGAATGACCAGAACAACCAGTCGACCAGTCACTATGACGCGCACTGACCACCAGGGGGCAGACAATGCAGGAGCTGCCCCCTGGTAGTCAATGCACTCCCACAGTGGGAGCGCCGCTCCCACAGCAGGCCGATCCCCACAGGCCACGCCCCCACCAGTGCATGAATCCTGTGCACTGGGCATCTGGTAAAATAATATCATAGTCCCCACTTTCTAGATTTTGATAATCAGGTTTAGAGAGGTTAAGAAGTATGATTGTGTGGTTAAGTAGCCTGAATTTAGAGCTCAACCTGTAATCTGTAACTGCTTTAAATCTCTCTTCCCTCTCCCCACCACACACACATACACACGCACACGCGCGCTCGCGCGCACACACACACACACACACACACACACACACACACACCACTGTTTGCGTTGTGATTTTTTCAAAAAACTACACAGGTAGATTATGGACAGATTACTCTCTCTTTTGGAGAAAGCAAAAAAAGTGGCAACTTTGCTAAACCAGTTCTATTTCTCCCTCCTATGTCACTAATGGCTTTGCTTTAATATTTTAAACTTTTTTTATTTTGCTTCAGAAACGCTGCAAGAAGTAAAACTACTAATGTACTAAGTTTAATGTATCATTCCCTAACAACCTTTTTATCTCGATCCTTTGTTACTGTTCTCTCAATGTCTATATTGGAGTGCTTTGATCATGACTGACTTTATAATAGAAATCATGATAGCACCACTTAATCTCCTGACTTTGGAAGCCCAGATAATGCACATAAGGGACTGATTTAAGCGGGAAATTCTCACTCATCACAGGTATTGATGCTGAGGACAATGAGAAAATGAGGTCTTGAAGGAACCATTTAAATGTTAAATGCTCTAACAAAGAAATTAAACAAAATGTATAATTTGTTCCATAATGATACCTTAGATATAATTAGTATACTGTATATCCTAAACCTAGAAAAACCAAGTCTGGATAGGTTAAAAAAGAATTTATTAATACTTCCTGTGTCTCCAGAATTGAATTTGCCATAAAAAGTTTCATACACTTTTCAAAAACCCATAAATAGATAGCAGTTAACCAATACAACCCAATATAAGTGTTAAAAAAATTTCTCCACACAATTTAAATATATTAGGTTTCCTTAAGGATGAGGAAGTGTTTTCAAGTACTTAAAGTATTTCTTGGATTCCAGGGAATAGCTTTAAAGCATGTTATAAAATGAGTTACCAATTGAAGACCACTTGGTGGATTAAGTGTTCCTTTTCATTTGTAAACTCAGAGGAAAAAATATCCTGCAAAATCTATATGCATTCAATTTGTCTGATATGTGAGGAACATGTTAAAGTAAATGAGAAAGTACATGTAATTTTAATTATCGTAAGTGAGAATTCCTGCTATGGGAGTTTTCAGAAGAAATCCACAAAATGGAAATTGTTCTGGAAAACTTTCCTAATGGAGAACAGTATTGTGTGGAACAATCTCCCCAAAGCCACTGTGTAACGCCTGGAAGAAGTATCCTGCCCTGAAACAAGTCAAGGCCCCTCAGGGGTATGATGTTAACAGTCCCATTTCTGAAAGTCAAGGAAATGTATATGGAGAGAGAGAACAACACAGGGAAAAGTCTGTAAGTAACTTACTAA